TAAATTTGATTAGTATTATTCACAAAGATACAAATTATAGACTTTTTATTTGGTGTATTTTTATATATTTTAATTATAATGCATATTATTAGTATGGACACGACAATTTCTTGTTTTGTGATAATATATAACTATATTTTAATGAAAGTAATGTTTCAGCTAGATGTATCATAATACCTACATTGTTACCCTTAATTCTATATAAACAATGATTTTGTATTTAGCAGGATAATTGTGATTTCCAGAACACAATAATCGTATTTGGTTTTTAGTTTTTACTTTGTCTACGACTTTAGAGTTGGTACTTTAAACTTTTACAAATAATTGGAAAAGACTAAAAACCATTACGGAAAAACGGGAATACGYAACATTATAGTTTTCGATAAAATCGATTTTTTCTTTTGTTGTAATTCAAAAATGAATTACCGTAAATATTTTAAATTATCACCTAATATTTAAATTAATGATTTATTGGCGTAATATAATTAAAAAAATATTTTAGTTCTTTTTTGAACTATTTACTGGCATTTGAAGGTTAGTGCCACTAAATAGTCTCTTAAAACGTATTACCTATACGAAGTACAAACTAATTTTTTTCATTAATATCACACGATTTAAGAACTAAGGTTTTACATAATATTATATATTAAAAAATGTGTAAAAAAATACGATTTTTTATATTTTTTTGATTCAAAATATTGATTTTAATAGTAATCTGAAATGCGTGGTTGGAATGATGATAGTGTTCGAGATTACTTTTAACAGTTTTAACTTTGACTATAGTAAAATAGTTGGAGACATCTGGAAAATACTTAGGACTAATGCTTGAATCGGTTTTATAACGCGTTCTCTATACGTCTATATTGGAATTTATAATAATATAAATAAAAGTAATTCTAGCAGTAGTCTAAAAACAAAACTTTTATATTGTTTTTAGCTCGTGTCGTATCTTGTTCATATATGTGCAAATGTTGAAGTTTGAACCTTGTGATATATATTTAGGTACATAAGATTTTTTTATTGTTTGATTCGCATATTAATATGAAGACAAAATTTCATCTACGGCGGCTATCAATTTTTATGACTTTTCGAATTTCTAATATATTATTGCAATTTTCAGTATAGTACATATATTATGAAGCTATAGAGTACTGTAAATGTGTATATTTTATTTGTTACACTGTTTCAAATAAACTGTGCGCGTGTATAAGTGCATAACTGTAATTATATAAATATAACGGAATTTAGGAAGATACACTTAAATATTGGCCGAATTAATTCTCCGCAAAAAAAAAAAAAATTAATTTAAACTAGTATACACATTTTTTTTCTCAAACAAAATGAAATAAGCTCAATTATTCACCGCAGAATATAGGTTAAGACCTATAGGTTAACCCAGGTTAGGTTAAGATTATTTAAATATACTTTAAAAGTTAAAAAAAAAAATTTAATATTTATTAAAATATCTTTAAACTTTTAAAGGAAAAACATTTTAAGTAGATTACAGTAAATTATATTGTCTGATGTATATTAAATTCTGCGGTATAGAATTCGAACTAACAGTTATGATTGCATGGACACTAGTGTGTTAGTTAGGTGCGTATTCGCTGATTTTCTCTCTATACTTCGATAGATATGCCAAATATTTCGCAGCCGGTTGGTGTTAACCCGAATACCTCGTGGTACACAAACATACATCAAAGATAAATTGCTCGTATATCCGAAATGATAATAATAAATAATGATATATCATGATGTTTTTTTTACTGGTTTGCGTTACCTATAGCTGCAGCTGCCTGTAATATACGTATGATATTTACGGTGTTCAAATAATATTCCGTTTTGAGGGCGCCGTTCAGAAATAGTGATTTTGCGTTCTAATAACTTACTGCGGTAGGTACGATAGTCTATGTGTATCTCCCTTAACCCACTCACCGATTTGCATATAAAACCAAACCATAATAACGATATTGCATGTATATGTATCTATCATCCGAGCTGCTTTTATGAGTTCCATTTGGATTCGTATAATATTTGTTACGAAAATGGCAAACACCATAATATAGCTATACGTAGAATATACGTGTTTGATTCCAATAACATTATACGATTACATTTAAATCACCATCGTTTATGTGTATATGGGTATCTACAACGTACGGTTTGAGAGATCCGTACACATATATTATGTACATATTGAACTTACACTTACGGTAACTTTTAAAGAATACATTTCGTAATATTATACATAGAGATAGAGTATAAATATTTTTCGAAATAAGTATTTGTGAAATTTAATTTTTTTAGGAAATAAGTTGTAAAATATTTAAAAACAAATGGAATTGGAAACATATAATAATTTTAAGTGAAAATACAGATGCCATCAATAATATTCATATATTGTATTTTTTTTTCATGTATATCTCGCATATCAAACTCAGAATGATTTTATAAAAAAGAATAATTTATTTGGTAAACGAAGGAATGGGAAGTCGTCTCCTATAAATCTAATGACAACATCGAAGTACTTTAGTCCATTTTCAAATTCATTTTAATAAGTATTGAACTGTGTTCAATTAAAATAATTAGCTAGTTTTTTAACTTATTTATTAAATTATTTTTATGCGTGAAAACAGAGTTGTTAAATTAAAAACGACTGAAGATTACCATTATTATAGGCATTTTACATTTTTTAMAAACAAACAAAATATAATATTATATGTACTTGTTTGACTTTTTATATAAAATTTAACTATTCATACGGTTATTCATTTTACATTTTTACGTTGTAATATATGTAATCGGTATTGATTATTATTTATTAAGGTAAGAAAATTGACGCATCAAGTTAAGAAACGTTAGACCACCGATTACATCGTATACATTTTTATCAATGATTAGGTGATATACACGGATATATATTGCACAGGAACGAAATTATTGTGTCTATTACTTTTATTAAACATTTAAACAACCATTAGCTCACTAAGTCATTTGTATTTATCATTTTCRCCTTGATCAATTATCAAGGTCTAAAGACAATTGTTGGTCTTGAGAAAAGGGTAACGTTTAATTTGTTATAGTTTGTTACAGTGATATCATAAACAATTTAATTGAATCTACAGAACGGAAATATTKCGTGTAGGTATATGTACAATGGAGGGTATAAATTGTAAAAAGCTGGACACAATTCCGGTTACGAATGATCGTGGCCCGTGGGTAGATAGATTATATAGACCATATATATATATATTATATATATATATAGACCAATAGACCATACTGAAGCAGATTGCTGTGGACTGCGGTGGTGTTATTAACTTAAGCAATAATTAGTAATTACTAATTAATTTTTTTTTTTATAATTATTATTAATAATACCYTCGGAAACATGGGYCATTGGGCTTACAGCGYGAAAATTATAAATTACAGAAATTACAAAAATTGTATGTATATATGTATATAAATAAGTTACATTAAATTKTGGATATAAGATTGGCGAMTGTGATGAATTGAATGATGTTGGTAATGGATTGAGGGTGATTGCATAGAGTTTCTGATAGTGATTCGGGTAGGTTGTATCTTCTTCGGGTACTGTCGTAGGTTCGGCATTCCATGAGCATGTGGTTGATAGCGACTTGGACACCGCAGGTTGTGCATATTGGGGGTTCTTCTTTGGACATTAGAAAACTGTGGGAGATTTTGTGTCCAGCTCTTTGTCTGCAGGTTATTACTTCGAATTTTTTTGTAAATTTCGAAGGGAATTGTTCAATATTATCGGTGTTATGTTTTATATGGTTTAATTCGTGTAATAAGATGTCCACCTTTGATACCATCTTTGTTGACATTTTTACTAAGGAAGTTAACAAAGTACAATGCACGCATAACGTTATATAATTGATTTGCATAATATTGCAGTAATATTTTGATAAAAATCTATGTATTTTTTTCAGGTTTCGAATTAGTTAGAAAAACGGGCTTAAAATATTTTTTAGTACATTCTTAAGTCTCAATATTTCTGCGATAATTAAATAAATAACAATGTTATTAAAACAATTTCAGAAATAAGATTTAATCCGTGCTTGAATAACGTCCGTTTGACACATATTATTCAGAGGATTTTCAAATGAGTATAATATGTCAGAAGTTTCATTCTTGTATTTATAGTAAAMGACCATAATAAACCATCCAATTTATTATCATATTAATCATTAATCTGTGTGGTACAAGAGGATAGATTTAAATCCACTCTTATATAATATTATAAACAAGTTGTACGTGGCATTGGTATAAATAACTTTAAATTATTGTTATGGTTTTATATATATTACAGATAAGTTTGAAATTTTACATGATAGATAATTGAAACGAACTTTTTACTATATCAGTTTAATATAATTGTTTACTGGAAATAAAAATATTCTCCTGCTCGCAGTATATTTAAACATGTTTTTATATAATATTATGTTATTAATAAGTTGGCTTGCCATGTTGTACAGTATAATATAGGTTTAATTTATAAATAATTTAATAATGTCACAACAACTCCAACGTCGTAAAATATATTTACTTTTAATGAGATTTAGTAWAATATAAAAAATATTTATACATGTAAATTGGTTTATACATGTTAAGTCTAAATACAACTGTGATTAGACAAACAAATGTTGTCACCTTATCGTATTATTTTTTTAAAC